ATGATGTATGAACTCACTCTAATTTGCTTCTGAATCAATAAACTTATTATTATTCATCAAAAAAAACAAAAAGCCCTTACATTTGGAGGTATCGGAGCGATCCAAACTTCTTTAACAGGAAAGGAGGTAACCGGGGGTTAGAAGGGGGCACCAAAGCATTGAAAAAGGAAGAACAAGAAAAGCAACCTGAAGAAGATTCAGTCCAAATTCTACTATCAAGACAAGACTGGTCCAAAAAAACTGAGCTTAGAAGAGAGAAAAGATCATCTGCCAATCTGAGTCCCTCAAACCTCTCCTTAGACCTAGACCCCAAGAATCCCTAAAAACACGAAAAGAATAAATAACTTGAAATTTTTTCAAAGGGAATGTAAGTTTGGGAATCTATCGTTAAGGGGAGATTCCCCAAGCATCTGATGCTTGTGGAACAAGACATGAAATATTATGATATACATTGTACAAAATCATTCAGCAATTTTTACCTTAGGAGGAAGTATGGCATCAATATCAGCATCTGATGCTTGTGGAAATCTTTCCTTTACAGTTCTTTTGAGCTTCTTACGATCTGCACCAGACAAGCGTTGCAGGGACTTTGCCTCAATAGACTTCTTGAACATGATGTGATCCTTTGTAAAAAATCACCTAAATTCAGAAATTCTGGTCAACAGGCCAATTTAATAAAAAATTAATGATCATAATTTCTATTTAAATAAAAAATATAATATTTGAAAGTTATTATATTTGGCAAAGATGAGTTTATATACACTAGCATGCAAGCAAGTGGAGACTCAAAAGCCAAAACATATGATAGTTTTGAATCATGCTACTAGTGCCCTTACTTAGTTTAGAGGTTGGGCTTTCTTCACAAGCTTCATATCTTGCTTGGAACTTTACAAGGAAGAATGCAAAAGCGATCCCATTGAGGGAAGGTCCATCTTATCATACAAGATATTCAGATTCAATCTTGATTGTGGAATATTTAGATCCAAGAACTTCTCTAGATACTTTTTGGAATAATGCTTAGATGATGATGTACTCTAGATACTCTTTGGGAAACTTTTCTTTCTCTGTATTCTAATCAATAAACACTGTCATCCATATAAAGGAGCATTACAAATTCAGCAGTTTCATTGCAGTGCGCATGGTTCAAAATATTGGCAACATTTGGCAAAATTTCACTAAAACCTCTCCATTTGGCTAGGGGATGATATGAAATTTTCCAAGAATCATTTTTCCCCTAATATCTCTCATATGTTGCAAATATATCAGTGATATTTCAAGTGTCGTTGATAGACTATACATTAAAGGTTTAAAAGTTTACAATATCATCAGAAAATTTCTGATATTTCATTTAAACCGTCATACTTTTAAAAAAATCCTTTCATAAAAGAACAAATGGGAATTCAGTAATTGGATTGTTAGCCAACTATGCTGATACAATTCAGTTACCAAGTCACCATAATTTAATAGAAAAAGAAAAAAGGCACACAACTACAAAAGAGAATTCCCAATCTAATCAAAATATATAATAATAACAAAGAGTTAAAGACACAAATCAAAACAGTAAGTAAATGGCATACACAAAGAAGAGAAGATGGCAAAAAAGACTAAAAGGGAGATAGAGAAAAAGATACCCATTTAAGTTTCTTAATCTTCTCTTATTTGATTTATACAATTGTTTGGTATGGTTTTCTGAACCTTAAATGTGCAATTATATGTCTTCTAAAGATTCCTTGAAAATTATCAACTAATTCCATGCTTTTAGAAAACTTCATTGATTTTTTATTTTCCAAATATCTTGGTAAAATTTCCCAATTTTCCCATCTTTACATGGAAAAATGTCCATCTAGTGATTTAAAACGTGCACCTCAGGCACACCTAGCATGCACCTCGCCTAGGCACAGGCACAGCCCCTTTGGAAAGGTGTGTGCACTAGTGCGCCCAGATATGCACCTCAACTAGAACCCCTAGTATTTCTCTCCCATCCTTCTTAATACAAGATTTTTTTCATCAAACCAGTAGACTCCTAATCCTAAAATATAATGAAATGCAACTAAAACCACAAAACCAATCTCTTTATATATTTTAAGACCTTCACACGAACTTGTCTAGGCTTGCCTCAAGGGGCTTGACATCACATTAATAGGAATGCAAGATAATTAACATCACATTAATCACATGAAGTAATGCAATTAGGAGAGAAATAAACAGATTAGAATTTTCACATGTTTGAATTGTTGCAAAGCTAGCCATGCTGTATAGAGTAGTGTTGGGCAGTCAAGAAACAACATATCCAAAAAATGAGCATGGCAGAAATGTGAATGTTGAGATGGATGAGTGGAAAAACTAGAAAGAATAGGGTCAAAAATGAAGTCATTCTAAGGAACCCCAAGAGTAACTCCAATAGGAGAGGACAGGGAAAGAGGAAAAGGAAGAAAAAGTCAAAGGTGGAGAGGTTGATCTCAGATATTGAGGGAGAAATGGAATTCAGTGCCAGAGGGGATAGAAGAAAGGAGTCCAAGTAGGGAGTTTTCTGTGGTAACAAGGGTTACTTAGCAAGTTTTTTAATGAAGATTGTCAACTGGAACGTTAGGGCTTTGGGGAGTGCTAGGAAAAGGAGAGTAGTTTAAGGATCAGCTAAGGAGAGAGAAGCTTGATATAGTCTTGTTACAGGAAACAAGGTTACCAGAGCTTGACAAAAGTCGGATTAGAAGTGTGTGGGCAACTACAGTGAGCTGATCCTCATTGCCTTCCTAGGGAGCCTTTTAGAGGTTTGGTTACCATTTAGAGGGAGGATGTAGCCGAACCTCTAGAAGAATTGTTAAGCAACTTTTCAATCTCTTTAAAATTTAAAAATGTTGAGAATGGATTCATTTAGGTGCTAACGAACCTGTATGGGCCAAGCAGCTATAGGGAAAGAAATGAGATGTGGGAGGAGTTGTATGGAATACACAACTTGTGGGGGGACCTTGGTGTTTGGGTGGAGATTTTAATGTAATCAATTTTGTAGTGAAACCAAACGTCCATCAGTCTATCACAACTAGCATGTGAAAATTTAATGAGTTCATTAATAGTTGTGAGCTGAAGGAGATCCCCTTGTTGCAAACCATCTTCACTTGGTTAAATTTTCACATGCCACTTAACAGTTGGTTAACAACAGGTACTGGATTGGCACGTTTTGAAAGTTCGGGTACTGAATTATTGCGTTTTAAATTTCGGGGGCCAAAGTGGCACTAGGCCCAAAGTACAGGGTACTAATCGGGAATTTTCCCTTTTTCTATACATTCAGCAATAGCATATGGTATTTTGAGCAAAGACATAAAATATAGAAGCAGAAGGTGAGACACATGCCTGAACGAAATAGAGGAGCAAATCTGAATATTTAAAGAAATGAAATGTTCTAAGAAACTTAGTGGCACATTAGTTGGAACATCAAGTTATTTAACACAATGGTTGCACATTCAAGTACTATACAGTTTTAACAGTTAACCGGCTAAACCATTTAAAAACATCATATCTAAAATTTGGTAAACTATATTGTTTTCTATGATTCTATGTTCTATAACAAAATAAAGACAATTAGTAAGTGTTAAATCAGAAACTAATCAACAGATAACAAAATTATCTAAAAGCATTTAAGTTCAAATATTAGGGAAACAAACTTTTAATCAAGCATAGCAGAGACTCAGTGGCAGCTACATACTAGGGTGTATAGCTATAGACCAAATGAACACATACAATATCAAGAATCTGAAACAAAAAGAAGCATAGAACTTAAAAATGGAGTGTAGTTGTAAATAAGACTACAGTTGAGAAAACCTGTTCCAATTTCACAGAAGTGTTAGGCTCTGTGTACAGTCAAAAATAATCTGTTTGCAAAATTGAAGTTGCTCCAGTGAGAATATCTATTTCCACTTATGAAGGTAAGAGCTTCATTTGTTAGTATTCTATTTATAACTGGGCTCAATTCAAGCTCACTGTTAAAATAAATACAAATACTACTTTATATATCCATATATACTATTATTTATTAAGTCTATATCATTGAAATATCAGTAGCATCATTAACCCTCAAAAGTCCAAAGAAGGAAGGAAGATTGCAGAATATGTTATTAAGAATTCAGTAGCTTTGTCGCTTATTGGGAATGTGATACTATAATGTATCTCCTGCCTCCTAAAATGACTCAATTAATTAGTATCCCTTCATGTAATGTAATACATACATATTGTTAGCATAATGAATGAGTTCATGAATTGCATTCTTTGTAAAAATAAAACACTTGGGAGTTAAAAATTAGCTCCAAAAACTAGTAGGATATGGATAACCACAAGCACAATTTCAATTCCATTATATTTCAATATATGTATAAACATCAAAATTTTCAGAAGGATTTCTTTATTCCTACAACCAGAAATACAATTTGTCGAAAGGTCCAAGGTATTTAATTCTTTGTTTTTAATATCTCAGAAAGTTCATGCAAATTTCATAAATTTATTAAAGAATTCCCAAGTTTAACATGGAATCGAGTAGAAAAGCTTTTTACGGGCCGGTGAGCGGCAGTTTGGTTGGGTACAAAACCAAGTTTATCACTTGAACTAACGCAAAATGGAACCAGTTAACAGAAGAACAGGACGGTTCAATAAAAATTCGTCCAAATTATCAGTTATTCCCAAAAAGAAAAAGTAATCAGTTTCTTCCCCAAACAGAATCAATTTTCCCTGATCAAAGAACAAAAAACTATCGGTTCTTCCCAAGACACTGCATCATGGCCCAAAAAAAAAAGATGAGAGGAGGAAGGGAAAATTAAAAGGGAGGAAAATATATCCACCTGTTTAAATTTTCTCTCAAAGCTCAAGACTCGATCTTAGCTGGTTTTGTTAATTCCTTGCATTGATTTAGGATGTAACTGGGCTCACTCAAGACCTCAATCCATGGCAGAGCATGGCAACTCTCCGTTCTAGGGCTTAAAAATATCGGTTTGTCCCATTTCCTCGTTTTTAACCCTAACGTTAAAATAGTTAAACTCCGCACGTGCGAAACGCTGTGAAAAATTAGATGGTGCTTGGTAGTAAGTAGTAACACTACAAAATTAATAATAAAAGTTGGGGCTTAAAAAATTTAATGGTAAGTGAATGTCAAGACGCCGTTTTGTGATTTTTCAGGGATTAGTAAATGTGTATGTAGGTGGAAATTTTAGATAATGCTAATGATAATGAATATTTATATTTTTTATAATTTTTATATTTTATATATATAAAAGTATTTTTTCATTTATTTTATTTAATATTTTGAATATGTAATATTAATGAAGTGCTCAAATGTTCTCTACACATTTCAGGTATTTTATCAAAAATTTTTGTATTTTTATCTTTTTAATTTTTATAATTTAATTATAACATCATTGGTTGATTCATTTGACCTAGATGGTTGACTTGTTTATTTGCCACCTAAATAGAAGAACAATTTCATTTTTGAGTTAGTTTTAAGAAAATATAATTTTATATTAGTATTGGATACTAATCTAATTAATATAATTTATTGGTGAGAATATATTTTTTTCTGAAAAGGAATGGGAGGAGTGTTTCCAGTAATAAGAGTGGGGGTTAATACCTTAAGTATATTAGTTGGTGATAAGAAACTGAATAAGGTGAAAAATAGTAGTTCAAATTACATTTTCTACCCTCATAATTAGAGAAGGACTAAATTCAAAAAAAAATGAGTATTTTACTCAAAAAGAAGTTTCACAAGCTCCTTCCTACTTTTAATAGTAGTATAAGTATCGATATGTTCAAAATTTATACAATTTGTTTATATTTCTATAAATAAAATATAATTCTTATTTATCACACTTTCTACAAAGTTTATGTATATTTTTTAATTTTTTAGATTAACACATTTGACTTGAAAATTGAACTATTGACTTGCCACGAAATAGGAAAATAATTGCATATTTTTTATCAATTTTAAATTTTGTATTTCATTTCCATCTTTAATAAAAACTCTTACAAATAAAAGTATAGCCTATAGTAATGTAATCAGAATTTCATTCCCTAAATTTATTTATCTACAAAAGCAAGGAAAGGTAGAGTGTTATTCTAAATTCTAACTTATTCCATGAGATCTATAACTACTTTTGCAACCCCGTCTTTATCTAAGTGTGTTTCATAACACTTTTTGAATTGAGAATGAAGGTAATTCTTAAGTTGTCCGGCCATCAAAATGATATAACACATATGAAACCTTAGTTTCACAGACTTTTTCAGGTTAACATTCACCACAGCATTAATGGCTTAGCACTTCATGCTCCCCGCATGAATGAATAGATAGTGAAATGTTGGCTCTAAGATCAACATGTAGATTTATGGATTCTTGTTTATTATACTTATTTTTCTTTAATATATGAACAATATAAAATATTAGGGATGTGCCTAATTTTTTCAATACTTTTTTTATTTGTTGTATTTATTTATATTTAAAATTTGTATTGTTTAACTATAACATCACAGGTTGACTAAATTAAATTGCTTACCCACCACATAGATAGAAGAATGATTTCATTTTTGGTAAATTAAAAAAAAAACATGGGTTTAATCTATCTATACTACCTTAAAAAGTAAGAATAGCTTCAAGAATATTTCTAGAATTTTGTGATGACAAAACTTACCCCTCTATATTTAAATTTATTGATAAAAATGAGGGCAACAAGGGTAATTAATTGTTGATATTAAATGAGTTGAAAAGAGTTAATTCTAAGATATTCAATGCATTCAATTATCTCTCATTAAATCCAACATTTAAGGTATTAATTTGTGTTAACCTTCATTGAATTATATATTTAACGTTTCTTTGTTTCTTCTCATTATTAAATTCTATAATTAAATACATACATAATAAATTAATAATTTCAATAACATAAAAACTTATACTTTTAAAATCTACCTGGAAAAAATAGTGTTTTCATCTAGGTGGTGGTAAGAAATTAAACCATTTGGGTCAAATGGGCCAATCCATGTTGCCACAATTAAATAATAAAATAAAAAAATATAGAAAATGAAAAAATATAGAAGTTAAAAAAATGGGAACGTTTTTAACATCATATAGTTGACATATTAAACAATAATAAGTATACGTTTTAAAAACCGACTCAGAGGCCGACATGCTTTTGCCTTCGAGTCACAAGTCACCAGTTCGATTGTCAAGGTCAAACCAGTCAAACTGCTTTGCGTCAACACTGTGTGTGTGTGTGTAAAAATACATATTTTATCAATAAATAGTATAATCATGTTTTACATATATCATAGTTATGTTTTACATATATTTTATAATTATGTTTTATATATAACATATAATATATGTATTATGTTACATTTATTTATGTTTTTTAATTTTGTGTTAATTTTTTTATTTATAAAAAATATTAAAATTTGCATTTTGGGGCCAAAAAATGGGTTTTTTCGTGAAAATAGCAAGATAAGGCGCATAATGCCCTTGGGACGTATAGATCTTGAAAAGTTACTCAAAAATTAAAAAAAGAAAAAGATAACCCCAATCAGACATCGGAGTGCAAAGTTATGATTTCCAAAAGTTTGAACATAATTAAGTATGCAATCTACGACTTGGTTACTGGGTCGAATAGGTCAATGGTTGAACTGCCCAAGTTAGACGGTTTTTAACCAAAAGAGGGGGTTTCAACAAAACCAAACCTAGAATCAAGGCCGAATGACTATTTGAACGGTTCAATCGGGCGGGTCAACAAGTTGAAAACATTTATAATAAATAAGAAATGTTTTAATTAATGATGGAAATGAAATGTAAAATTTAAAACCAATTGGAAGTAAAACCATTTTCCTATTATCTCTCATTAAATCTCATATCTAAGGTATATTCTCTTATTAAATCCTATATTTAAGATATATCTTTCTCATCATTAAATCCTACTAATTAAATCCACAACATTAATTTTAATAATATAAAAATAAATATTTTGAAAACAAAACCATTTTATTTCCTTTCGGTGGTGGGTAAGCAACTCAACCACCATCACAAAAAAAAAAAAGCAATTCAACCATCTGGGGTCAAATCCTCTAATAAATAATTCCATAATTAAATAATAATAATTAAAATAAATAAAATATATAATACAAAAAAGAATTGAGCATGTCATTAATATTGTATATTCATTATACTGAACAAAAATAAGTATGAAATGTAAGAAGTATTTTTGTAAATGATGAAAATAGAATGCCAAAATTGAAATCAACCTAGAAATAAAATGATGTCATAGTCAAATAATAAAATTTTTAAAAATAGAAAATACAAAAAATCACAAAAATAAATATTATGCATAAGATATAATTTTATCAATAATGGAAATGTAATACAAAATTTAATGTCAACCTAAAAATCAAACTATTTTCTTTTTGGGTTGTGGGTTAGTGGTTTGGGTCAAATGGAATAATCGATGATATAATAGTTAAATAATAAATATTTAAAAAATAATAAAAAAGTACAAGTAATCAAAAGAATATATAAAAAATTTTATATTAATTATGTCAAACAAGAATTATGTGTGATAAGTAAAAATTATGTATATAATGTAGATGAAATATATAATTTAAAACCGAGAAAGCAAAGCTATCTTCTTATTTAAATGGTGGGTCAATGATCCAACTTTTCAAAGAAATTCATGATGTCATAATTGAATAATACATATTTAAAAAAAGATAAAACACAAAAGATAAAAAAGTACAAAGTTTTGTCAAAGACATTTCAGAAAATTTCTAATGTTCTATAATCATCATATTAAATAAAAATAATTGTTAAAATAAAAATTATTTTTATTTAAGACATAAATGGAATACAAAATTTAGTAATAGTAGTAGTACTAGTAATAATAATAACAACAACAACAACAACAACAGCAATAATAATAATAATAATAATAATAATAATAATAATAATAATAATAATAATATTGTTATCATTATTATTAATAATTGTTATTATTATTATTATTTTAATTTAAAATTTCTGTAGGTGCACATTTAGTACAAGTATTTAAGTTTATTTTTAACAATATTGATACTTTTATTAATTTTTAATTTCTATCCTAATTATGGTATATCTAAAATTAAAGTAATTAATATGAAAAAAAATCATACGTGCAATGCACGTGCTTAATTACTAGTATTCTTAAAAGTATTGGATATAGATTTAAGGGTAAATTTCTTAAAATACCCTTATGGTTAGCTAATTGACTAAGTGTACCCTTACTATTTGAAAATTGATTAACGCTACCCCTACAGTTTCTGACAATTGACTAATACTTCCCTTACTGTTAGCGTCCGTTAATAAAAAGACAAAAAATATCATTTTACCTTTTATTCTTCTTCAAATTTTCAAAACAAAACAAGGAAAAGGGGAAAAACGCTTGTGAGCTCCGGGAAGCTCATGGCCGATTCAAAGGAGTTGGAGTCACCACCCATTTTTTAGAGAAAATGTGCCCTCATTTTCAGGTTTGAAAAACTTGATTTAGGTATTTGATAGTGACTCCGTTTTTCACGGTAAAGGCACACAACCAAGAGATTTTGGGTTCCAAGGATGGGGAGAGGGAAGGTACTAGGCACCCCTCTCTCTAAGCTGTTGTAGCAGCCCAATATGGGAGTTGTTCAGGCTTAGATTTCGGCAAAACACAAACTAACAAGATTGCTCAGAGCCCTTTAAATCTAGCGAAAATGTTTCCAACTTCGCCTAGAATTGATTTGAGGTGATGTTATCGGGTCTTAGGTACTAGTTTCCCTAAGACCCTCGCCTCTTTTTCTCAATCTGAGATGCTTACCTCTTGTGTTCGACCTTGAAACAATCTTTCCAGCAGCTAAAAGGACTTCAAATGAAAATTGATCAAGGTAGAAGCTAACCTGGGCGTTTCTGGTGTTGAAACAGGGGATGGGGCTTGAGCTTGGCTTC